CCTGTTTGTTGTTGTTGGTGTGTGTGTGTGTGAGTGTTTGTTTTTATTAGCTTTTGCGATTTCGATCCAAGTGTGTTCGATATGTAATAGGGACGCAATCATAGTTCGAAGGGTATACATATAAACTACATAGTTTTCAACTGTGATTCGTCCTGCAAACATTTTCTATCGCCTGCGTGACGAAAACCTCTCTAAAAAGCGATTGCTGATAAGAATCTGACTGTCGCAAATATATAGGAATAACCTGAGCAACATTTCTGAGATAAACTAAGTACTATAGTGATGTAAAGACAACAATGCGCATTCGACCAGTTCGATCGACCGAACAGCGAAGGGAGTTCGTAAATAGGTTATTATAGAGCAAGTTGTTTATTTTACCGAAAAAGTTATCTTTAGAGACGAGGCCCATTTCCATATTGATTCCTTCGTCGATAGGCAGAATTGCCCCTTTGAGGTGAGGAAAATTCTCGAGAGATTCACGAGAAGCAAATGCATCCTCAACGTGCCAATGTGTGGTGGCTGGGCTGGAGAAATAATCGCATTTTTTATGAAATGAGGCCGGTCAAGCTTAAACAGTCAATGATGTTCGGTATCGTGAATTGATAATCAGTTTGTTCTTGCCTAGAAATGAATATAGAAGGCATTTGGTTTGAAGAAGACGGCACCACATGTCATAAAACCAAAGAAACAATCCAATAGCTGCATCAGTCATTTCCCGATCGTGTTATTTCGCATTTTTAACACCTGAATCGGTCGCCTAATTCGTGTAATTTAACACATTTAGGTTTATTTTTTGGGGGGAGGTTTGCATTTTGATGTCGATAGTTTACGTTCAAGTAAAGCCTTAAAAGAGAAAACTGGACGCTGCATTAATGAAATACCGCAGCATTCATGGAAAACGGTCATTAAAAATATAATTAAAAAGATTGTGTGTGTGCCAGCGGTATCCTGCCACACATAACCTCAATCTGTCTGTTTTACGATTTTTTTTAAATATCTGTGTTATATTTATAATTTAAAAATTATTTTCTACTTGGAACACCCTTTACAAATTGTTAAGCGAACATTACAAGATCAGAAAGAGTTGAATGAATTCTCAAAACTGAAGTAACATTAAACAAGTACAAAAGCAGCTAAGTCCGGCTGAGCCGAACTCCCTCCATCATTTTAAAGGAATTTGAAAAATTAAATAAAATTCCGTAGAAAAATACCTCTCAAATGAGTCCCCTTATATGGGTGCTATACAAAGACGTGTTCCTTCATAAGTGATTTTTTCTCATAGGCTGTAGTACCCGTTACGAACTTTAAATACAACATTTAAAACAACTCTGGTAAAAAAGTTCGCTGAAATCATCAAAATACGGAATATTGGGAGGTACCGTTATATGGGGGCTATACGAAGACGTGGACCTGCTGTGATTTTTTTGTCATAGGTGTATAGACCCAATAGAACGATACCCGATATTCGGTATTTGATGATTTTAGCCACTAATTTTAACAATAATTTCACAATTAACTTCGTAGCTTCTAAACTATTCTGTCTTTTGACAGTAAACATAATTGTCAAACGGGCCATGAATGAAGGATACATTCGTTGAGAACAATGATACTTACATTCATCGACTGAAATGAACAAAAATATGATATCATTACTCTTTCATTGCCTCAAAATTTCAGCAGTAACTGAATTTTTTTCCCAATTTTTGGATCCATAGATCTAAAATAGTTAATAACTCCGAATATATGTAATTCCCTGTATTAATGTCTCACATTTACGTATATTTCAGGACCGCAGCAATGCTCAATCGTCTTGTGCTGGCTTGTTTGTAGGAGCTAACCTGGGATTCGATTATCCAGGCATATGGATGCATGTAGATATGGCCACCCCTGTCCACTGTGTAAGTAAAACATAGTTATAGGAGATGAAGTTCAATTGATACCCTGCATTAATAGAGTATCAATTGATATTGGACTACCGAAATAGTGCAGTTAAATTTCATAACAATAAGAAAAAAAACGTGCATTCGTACTTGAATTTCCAATTAATTTTCGTGGCTCACTATATTTTTTTCTATTTTTAGGGTGAACGTGCCACAGGTTATGGCGTGGCATTGTTGCTGGCTTTGTTTGGTAGCCACACCAACTGCAAGATGTTGCAATCGATTGCATGCAGTGACTCTGAACCACCACCGAAACGCATCTGTCGCGACTAAATTATTGGCTGAAGCAGCTCTGCCATTGAGCGACATAATCGCTTTCCAGAATGAAATAAATCTTGAATGCTATTATTTAGTTTCCATATATTATTCATTTCAATGTTGTTCATTTTCAAAAAAAATGGAAAACATTCAAGTAACATTAATCGAACGAGTAATCTGTAATGCGTTTAATTTTAATTTTCAGATATTTACATTTATTTTTTGTGGTCTGATCTATAATATAAATAAAAAGAATTGAATTCAAAATGTACTGATATTAACTGAAAATTTGTTTTTCTTGTTTAGAATGGTGTTTAAAAATGGAATACAAGTCTCAAATTAAGTAATTTTATTATAAGTTTGATTGCGCCAAAAAGACATGAGACATCTTGAACCAATTGTTTTTATCATGGCCCAATTATAAGGTAAACTAGAAAATGAATTTTTTAGCATCAGTTAAAAATAAATAAATGAATCGGGATTGAATATTGGGTCCACGTCCATTTTCGCTAGTGAAATCGGTTGGTAAAAAGTCTAAGTACTATGTGGTTGTTATCTATTGTGAGTTTTAAATTCTAAATTAAACAAGTAAAAAGGCAGAAAGAAAAACAAGTAAGCAAAGGCTATAGACGTGCGGGGCCGACCATGTGATACCCTACAACACTCCTTATGTCCAAATCCATTTTGGAAGATTTCGCTTTTGAAATTATATCACGGAGCACTGCCCAGATATTCGTCGTGCTGTTAGTTGTTGTGGTTTATATAAAATATAGAATATAATACAATGGTCATCCAAAATGCAGGAGTTCTTTCCTGTCATTAACTCTCTTCTTAGGCGTGTCGATTGGCTTCAATTTTGTGATCAGGAATTTTTTTCTGTTTTTGGTTCATTTGAACCCCTAAATATTTTGCGATCATCTCCAAAAGCAAGAAGCCGCTATGCATCCACAAATTTAGACCCATATATATGATTTCCTTGACTATGATATTTGGCTATAATCATCAACGAAGACAGCATAAATAAGCCAGAAGTTCGCCTTTTGTGTATTTGGCATATCACTTGTAAGTAATGTTGGTATTTTTTGCACACAAAAGTAGTGGTACTTTCTAACCGCTGTCATAAACCCTAACTACATGCGAGATTTCGAGTCCGTTGGCTTCTATTTGCTGCAAAGTCAGGAACATTTTTAGTGGTTGGTCCATTTCAAGCCCTAAATATATTGCGGTCACCCTTGAAAACAATGGCTCTTCTGAGCCTAAACCTACCCTTGTGAAAATTTTCGGGAAGATCGGACGATAATTGCAATCTGTATATAATAACCCCAACCCGTGTTGTAAAGTGAAAAAATTTTACAAAATGTATACTTCAATATTATAAGTCAAATTAAATAAATCGCATGCGATAAAAAATATGAAAAAATAAAAAATATGTCACAAAATACTACAAAATCTATAATAACACTATTATTGGCACATTTCTATGAGATTTTTTTTAGATTTTATTCTCTTATGTTAAGAGAGCATTCTGAATTGACAAAATTTGTCAAAATCAGTTCAGCCATTCTTGAGATATATGCATTCTAGCTAACATCCAGTTCCATTTTATATTTACATTGTATATATTTCCCGATATATATCAGATATATTTACTATCGGCTTCTACGTAACGATCAGAATTGATCTCTTCATCTATTGTGATTTGGCCGGGATTACAAATATTCGCGGTTTAATGCAAAATTTTACTTTTATTTAACACAAATGCTATGGTCTATTTCACCCACTAAATATTACCCGATGACAATAAAAATTGGAAGGCTTCTGGCCAGCCCTAAGCTCTAGCCCCATGCTAACTTCTGCGTCGATTGGTCTATAACTGCGACCTGTAGAGCAACTGCAAAATCAGGAAAATTTTCAGTATTTGGTCCATTTCAACCCCTAAATATTATGCGATCATCTCCAAAAGCCATATGGTTCTATTCTGGCCCAGACCCCACCTCCAAATTAACATGGACAGACGGACGGACGGACATACATAGCTAGATCGACTCAGCTCGGCGAGCTAGGAAGATCCATATATTTTCCTATGTGGGAAACCAATATTTCGAGGTGTTACATAATAGTTGTGTTGTAGGGTATAGTGTTGTAGGGTATAAAAAGCCATGGTACAATGAATTCAAGGTAGGGCAGAACTATCATATGATTTCAATTTTTTTATTTTTCTGGCTTAATATGTCAACTTCATTTGTTTATGTGTGCGTATTCTTTTCAATAATAAAAATGTTCAGAAAATATTCAAATTCTGGTGTTTTCGCAATGCTTATTGCAACGTATGCATCGACAAAGTCTTCAGTTTTTGTCGCGAAATAAACCATAAGAGACATATAGAACATGATTTAGAAAAGAAGTGTTGACCTTTCATTCAGTTATCGCGGTTTTCAATTATTTATTCAAAATAAATGCAACAAGTTGTTTGATTTTTTATTGTTTTAATACTAATTCTGACATTACAAGCCAAACAGGTAGACCTCTATACTTGCAATTTTTTTCAAAGTTGACCTACCTTCTCTTCATTGTACCATGGGTATAACAATGTATTGTAAAATCAATTAACCCGATTTTGGCTTGGACAAAACAAAAGCAACTCTGTGGTACATTTTTTTTTTTTGTACTTCTACGTCGTCAAGTATGTTGGTGGTTAGAACACTTTCGTGCCCATTCACCATGACCGGTTATTGTTTACTTGAAAAGTATCAGTACTCTTTTATTTTCGTTTTCTTTTTGTTTACAGTATATGTGTGTTTACAGAATGTAGTGATATGAATGGAATACATAAGAAACTGTAAGCAAATATGATGATTATTTACAAATAAAAGTCAAACTTCAATTTTGCAAAGTGCAATAAAGTTGATTAATTCATCTATATTTTGTTGGTTTTTGGACATCAGGATTTCCGGTAAGTTATTAAATTTCTTGAACAAATCAAAATCATTCCTATGATTTTGAAGCTTTTTGCAGAAAAAAATTATGTGTTTTTCATCTTCAATTTCGTTGCAGGTTTCACAAAGATTTGAGTCAGCAATTCCAATCCTGTGGAAATATTTTTTGGTGTAAGTATGACCAGTGAGCAATCGATTAAGAACCAGGGCTGTTTAGCAGGCGCTCGGAAGAATTGGTAGAAGTAAGTTCCTTTAGTCCGTGAGATGTCCTTGTAATTTTCTATAAACTCATTCCACAGGAGTGACTCAATGCGTTTCGACGCATCTGTGACCGACAGACAGAAGTTGATTGGTGAACCAACATTTGCTGCATGCTTCGCAAAATAATCGGCTGTTTCATTGATTGGTATACCGACATGGGAAGGTGTCCAAACAAACGAGATTTTAATTAAATGCGAATTAACAATTTTGTTTAGAATATTGTACACAGTGAAATTGTGAGATGTGTTGTTTTTAAGCAGAATACAAGCATTTTTGCTGTCTGTAAATAAAGCAGCTGTGCTGACACCGTCTTCGATCATCAAATCAATTGCCTTTTCAATTGCACATAGTTCACCAGTAAGAGAAGAAAGTTTTTCATTAATTTTGAAAACAAAATTTTGATTAGCAGATATATTGCAGACAGCGCAGCCTGAGTTGTTGTTAAAAAAAGCAGCATCCGTCGCCCAAATAGAAACGCCTTCGGATCTGAAGTCGTTAATTAATTCGTAGTAGTGTGCTTTGAAATATTCTGTTGGTGTATTGTTTTTGGTAGTATTAAATATATCCAGCATGAAATCTACCTTGTTGGTCGGATGTTGGTACATTCATATGATCGCTGTAATTTCAGTTGTTTTTACTGTTATATTTATCGTTTTTTGCTCGCTTCAACAGTTTCGTCATAAGTCATTTTTGAGATGTTTTTTTTTACAATAGCATGTTTTTAAATACTGTCCAAAAAAGTTTAAAATGGCTAGAAGCAAATACAGTACATGAATAAAACACCAAATTATCAGTGACTATGAAAACAAGCTATAGTAGAAAGTGATTCCCTAAGTCGGTTTTAAGCAACTGGATTAGTAGTCTATAACGGATGAAGTCCGTGAAAAACTTCAGCCCGTACTGATCAAAAAATTGTGAGAGAAATAAAAAAACAACCATTTAAGAGTTCAACTGAATTGGTGAGAGAGCTATTATTGGATATAAGCTCGAGATCAGGTGGTCTGCATGTCCGTAAGTCATCAAAAAAACCGTTTATATCTGAAAAAAATGGAAAGCCAGGATGGTTTTCGGAAACGATAATATTAATTGGCATTCAGCTGAATGGAAAAACATTTTATTCTGGGATAGTCTACGTTTATTATTAAAGGCTCAGACTGAAAAATTTTACGGTGAGGAGACCAAAAAATAAAAGACTCAAGCCGCAGTGTTGCAAGGGTACAGTGAAGCATGAGGGAGGGTTAAAAACGGTATTTGGCTGTTTTTCTTTCTATGGACTTGGGTCTATCCATGAAATAAAGGAAGTTATGGATCGGTTTGTTTACAAAGATGTGTTGGACATCACGTAGTTTCCTTTCGCTGAGGAAACTATTTGGCTTATTTGGATGTTTCAACATGACAATAATCCCAAACATGCATCAAAACTTGTCAAAGATTGATTGCGGGAGTCAAAAATCGGTGTTCTGTCATTGCCGGCACAATCACCTGACCTAAACCCCATAGAAAACCTTTGGAGTATCGTAGACAGGAAAATCAAGCGAGATTCGGAAACAAATAAAAACAACATTTTCCAAAGAATTCAGGGTGCCTGGGAAAGCATACCCAAGGAATAATTGGGCGTGTTATAGATTCAATGCCTCGTAGATGTGCAGATGCTATCAAAAATAATAGTTATCCTATCCACATCTAGCCAAAAGTTAATTATTTTAAATTAAAAAAATCAAAAGTTGCTGGCTATACGAAGACCTGGACCTAATATTTTCGATACCTAAAGTCCTGTAGACCAAACAAATATTGGAGTAAAAATGTATCAACCTACTTCAATTCGTTCGTAAGCTAGAGTGATTTCCACAGACGGAAGGAAATCGTTAATTCCGTATAGGATTTTGGGGTATTTCGAGGTGTTACTATGATGGAGTGTATTCAAATTTATTAAAAAATGTGGCTAAAATCACCAAAATACTAAATATTTTGAGGTCCCGCCTTATGAGTGATAAAATAAATAATAGGCTAATTAAGCAAGTTTCTTTCACAGAAGACAGGACCCATTCCAAACTCCACATATCGAATTCTAAACGATTCCCCTGAATATGTGGCCAAAGGAGGAGATATAACCCTAAGTACCGAATTGTTAACAACTCCGTTAGAGAATGAGCCTTAAATCATCAGAAACCCCTTATAGCGTTGAACCTCCATCTCTAGATCATGTATGTTCCTTCGTAACACGCCTGTATGGATGAGTTTTATCCATAACACCCAAGCACGTATGCTGACGTACGGGAAGGACCTTCGCCTCTTCATGTAGATGGTTCGCTGCTGTCATGAAGAGGAACCCTGTCGAAGTTTTCAGAGCAGCATTCTGGCAGGTCTGGATGTTCTTGCGTAGCATTTGTATTCAATAGCTGATGACAGATAGACCTATCGCGTTATAAGAGGTTTGTACCCCAAGTGCTGCCGGCTTTTGCCTTGAGAGGTAGAGTTCCTTAGGTATAACGCCTCCTTGGGGAACTGTTTCACTCTACAGGGTTTGGACTTATTGTTCCGGAATTCCCCGTAGGACTGGTGTCCACGTATTTAGTTCATTACCTAACATTTCAAGCTTCGCCGGAGGCTAGGTCTCTTAAAATCCTCAAAAATGTGGTTTCGTTGACTATATCAAATAATAGAAATCTTATAAAACGTAGTACTCATCGTTTTCCCCTCTGGTTGCTTAAAATTTTCATGGTTCATTTAAACCCCTAAATATTTTGCGATCATCTCCAAAAGCAAGAGGCCCCTCTGTGTCTCCAAATTTAGACTCATCTATATGATTTGCTTGTCTACGGTATTTGGCTATATTCGTCAACGAAATCAGCATAAAAAAGCCAGAAGTTCGCCTATTGTGTATCACCTGTAAGTAATGTTGGTATTTTTTTACACAAAAGTAGTGGTCCATTCTACCCGCTGTCCTAAGCTCTAACTTCATGCGAGATTTCGTGTCCTTAGGTTCATATTTGGGACCTTTATAACGGCTGCAAAATCAGGAACATTTTGAGTTGCTGGTCAATTTCAACCCCTAAATATATTGCGGACATCTTTGAAAACAATAGGCTCAGCCCTTCTGAGCCTAACCCTACCTTTGTGGAAAATTTCGTGAGGATCGAACGATAATTGCAATAACCCTAACCTGTTGTATTATAAGTCAATTTGAAAAAATCGCATGCGATAAAAAATATGAAAAAAAAATTTCACAAAGTACTACAAAATCTATATGAACATCATTGGTATCTTTATATGCGATTTTTTAGTATTTATACTTTAATGCCACAAGGACATTCTAAATTGACAAATTTGTCAAAATCGCACCAGCCATTCTGAAGATATAAGCATTCTAGCTGACATCCCCTTCCTTTGTATATATACATTGTATATATTCCTCTATATATATCCGATATTTTTACTATCGGCATCTACGTAACGGTCAGAATTGACCTGTTCGTCTATTCGCGATCATCTCTATTCTGACCTTAACCCCAGCTACATTCTAAATTTCGTGAAAATCGGGTCATAATGGCGACCTGTAGAGTGATTACAAATTAACATGGACAGACGGACGGACATACATAGCTAGATCGACTCAGATCGGCGAGATAGGAAGATCGATATATACTTTCCTATGTGGGAAACCAATATTTCGTGGTGTTACATAATTTTTGGCCCAATCAAAGTTATAATACCCCCAACACATAGTGTTGTAGGGTATAAAAACCTGAATAATAATAATAATAACTTTAATGTATTTAATACATTGAATTCTTGTATTGTTACTTTTTCAAATATATATATAAAACTTGAAGTAAAATAACAATCAAATTTTTATTTTCTCTAATGTATTTAATACATTGAATGTAATAAAACTTGAGTACCTTTTTTATGTATAGTGTAAAATTTTCAATAAAATTTACTTGAATACAAACTACATATACACCAAAGTCTGTTTTTACACGGTTTTGATATAACACGGTTTGAAAATTGAATATTTTTTAAATTTTTTTACACGATTTTATTCCATTTAGCACGATTTGAAACTTTATGTACTTAATTTTTTTGTCAAATTTTAATTTTTGCGAAATATGTTCATATCACAAAAAAGTATTTATGAAAGAAAAAAGTCTGAAACCATCGATAGTATCGATAGTTTGCGAACACTACCTTATAGCATGTTTCCATTGGAAACCGAACAACGTTGTTCGCTCTCAGAATTAGGTGCACGAATTAACCCGTTCATACGGCACGATTCGTAATTCATAGTAAAATAATTCCATTTTTCACAAATTTTGTTTGTTGATTTGAATGGGAATTTATACAAAAATACATAAAATTCTCACTAATATGAATAGAAGAAATTATTGTTTTTCTTCCAAAGAATAATGATATCATTAATTTTACAATTTTCATTCATGTTTTCAACTTTTTGTGTAAATATTGACATTTTGAACATATGTATGTTTGTATTTTTATACCCTACACCACAAGGTGGTCAGGGTATTATGTCCTTGTGCATTTGTTTGTAACAGGCAAAAGGAAACGAGATAGACCCATAGTTCCTTTTGATGATCTGCATAGAATCACTTTCTGAGTTGATTTATGCATGTCAGTCCGTCTGTCCGTCCGTCCGTCTGTCCATGTATTCTTTATTATCCGATTGAGATGAAACTTTGCAAACAACATTTGTTTGGCCCAAGGACGAACCCTATTGAAATTGGAGGTAATCGGTAAAAATTTAGATATAGCTCCCATATTAATTGTTCATCCGATTTGCTTTTTTTTTGTGCACCAAACGTGTAATATCAACCCGAATTGAATGAAATTTTGCACATACAACCAAATTAGGCCTAAAAATAAGTATGCCAAATTTTTTTTTTTTTTTTTTTTTTTTTGTTTCGATCGTTCCCATCGCCACACTTTCCCGCCCCTGCCGACCGAGGGGGCCACCTCCCCATAACGAAGGGAGCGCGTACACCCTATAGTCCGAAATATAGGGGGTTAGTAGGCTAGGGGAAACCGGCTACAGTAATTATCAGCCGGCTAAACAATAAAGTACATTAATATACACAATACAGACATATAGACTACAACAAAACTAAAATCCAATTAATTATTTCTGGCAACTGTTTCTACATTTTAAGAACACAAGATAGATTTTTTTATAACATGCAAGGGTTCAGATAAAGACATTATATT